ATCATGGTTTCATTTAACTTTTTACTGGACTATAATGCAATGTTAGATGCCCTAAAGGTGTTGACAAAAGGGTACAAATCAGAGTTAGATCGCGAAAAGTCTAAAGCAGAAGCAGCAAAGGTAAAGAATTCACATACATTTCCTATTTTCCCAAATAAGACAAATTTAGAAGTTACAAATGGAAATAATACTATTTCTAGAGATTTGAATGTAATCAAAGATGCATTACTATCAAATCAAAGTGAGTTTAATGTTAGAAGAGATTATAGATTAACTCAAAAATCAAACTATAATATCTGGTTTGATTATTTAAAATCAGAACTTACTAGTTGTGATTTATCAGATGTAATAGATGAAAATAATAGTAATAATAATAATTTATCAAATTCAATGAATAATAAAAGAAAATGCCTTGTTAGAGATATTATTATTAATCATTTAGATGAAGATTATCACAAGAGAATTCTTGATATTTCTGAACCCGTAGAAATTTTAAAAAGAATTAAAGAATGTAGAAAAGAACAGATAAACCTTACATCAAGTTCAGTTATAAAAAGATTGTATTCAATTAACATGAAAAAGAATGAGAAGGTCAATGATTTCTGTAAAAGATTTCATCAGATCATCAGAGAATATGAATCTTGCGGAGATGGAGAAAAATTAACTGAGCAAGAAATGAGATCTGCTTTTTATCAAGCTATAACCCCTCTAACTCCCCAACTAATGTCCGCAGATTTTCTTAAGAGATCTCATTCAAAGGAGATGATGACAATAAATGAAATGAAATCTTTTATTCTACAGTTAGAAGCAGAGAAGAAAACCGGCGACGTAGAAGATACTATCAAATCACAGACAGCAAAATTTGATGGTAAGACGAAATGTTACAGATGTGCTCAGATTGGACATAGAATTGACGAATGTCCATTGGCAAAAGTCGTGTGGTTTTGCTACTATTGCCAAGATTTAAAAAATCACAAGGGTACAGAATGCAACGAGGGAAGACTCAAAAGTAAGGTTCTAGATAATAATAATATCAAACCTAGAGGTAAAGTAGATAGACGAGGAGTTATTAAAGTTAGAAATAATGTGAATTCTAAGCCATATAATAATGATAGACGTTTTAAGAATTATAATAAGAATAATCAGCACTCAGCTCAAAATGCACCCAAACGAGACAGTAGAAGTGCAAAAAAAGTGACTGATGAAAGACAAGGTAAGAAATTATTAAATGAAGATTTAATAGATGAGATTAAATTTATTGCTGATTCAGAAGCAACAGATCACATAGTAAAGAATCGATTGACATTAAGTAATTTTGAAAAATGTGAAAATAAAGTAATTAGGAGTGCCAATAAGAATAAATCGGCTGATATTTTAATAGATGGAAAAGGTGATCTTTTGCTCTACACGAATCAAGATAACAAGATAATCAAATTATCAAATGTTATTAGTGCTAAAGATGTATCAGATAATTTATTATCATTAAGAAAATCAATAGATAAAGGATTTAAGATTTATTTAGATGATAAGACTTTGAGAGTATTTAGTAAAAATTTAGAAGAAATAATACTAGAAGGAATATATGAACAACCCAACTGGATCTTGAACTTCAAAGTTAAGAATTACATCGACGATGAAAACAAATTAGATCGGGAATACAACGCTTACCGGTGTAAAGCTGTAATGATTCAAGAAGATGATACCAATGAATCAGAAGTAGATTTCCAAAGGAAGGAGGGAGATACAGAAAATGAAGAGGTTAAGTATTCTTCAATTAGGAGCGAGGAAGTTACATCACCTCCAGAAATAGAACAACATCCTAAAAATCCAAATGATGACATGTTTAATTGGGATTCTAGTTTAATAACTAGAAATACAATTAAACTAGATGACATCGAGAGCATTAAGAATTTAGAAGAGCTATTCACATCAAATCCATTAGAGCAAGGGACAACAGAGTGAAGTAAAAGAAATGAAGCTATGTTATGGCATGTAAGACTTGGACATGCTTAATTGAATTATCTCAAGAAATTACAGAAGGTATACAGCAAATGAGAAAAAGTTAAATTTGATGATTCAATCCTAGACTGTGAAATATGCATTATGTCAAAGATGCAAAAATTACCATTTAAAGAAGTTAGAAGACGAGCATCAAGACTATTACAAATAATACATACGGACACGATGGGTCCAATAAAACCAACTTCACACCCAGGACACAAAAGATTTATTAATGTGTACATAGATGATTACTCCAGATTAGCTAGAGCATACCCAGTAAAGACTGAAGATGAATCAGGAGAAACATTAGAAAAATTTCTTATATCTACAAGAAATTTGCTTGGCAAATATGAAAAAGTATGCTACGTTAGATTGGATCAAGGAATAGAGTTCACTAGTAGAAAATTTTTATATGTTTTAAGAGAAGAAAAGATAGAATTAGAATTAACACCGCCTTATACCCCTGAACACAATGGAGTCTGAAAGATTCAACGCTACGTTGCAGAGAAAAGTCAGAACCTATATGTTAGATTCTGGTTTACCCAAGAGTTAGCAGTAGATGCAGCTGTTCACTCATACAATCGAACACCACATCAATCTATAGACTATGATGTACCATTAATGAAATTTAATAAGAATGAAAATTGTCATTTTGACAAAATTAAAAGATTTAGATGTATTGAATATTGCAACGTGGCCAGTTGACTCACATTGGGTAAACGCCAATTTACCACCTGATACTAAACGTTTGCTGATAACATGTAAGTCAGATTGGAACTTAGATGATAATTGTTAATAGTACGAAAATCGTTGAGAGTGGCGCTAGAGCGTTTCCCCACTTCTCAATGCTAATTAATGTACGCGGAAGCCATGTGCATCTAGTCTTTGTTCAACCCCCATAATGTATACTTCTGTAATTGATATATTTGTTAAAATATCCCGTGAAAAAATATTCTGATCAGATCTGATATGGCCTGATATGGACCGTCCATATCAGGCCTGATATGGAAATTGGCCATATCAGACTTGATATGGCCTGATCAGGGCTGATATGGCCATATTAAGATGTAGACAACCCAGAAGGAGAAATAAAATTTATCATTTCTGATTTTATTTTGTTTTGTAAAAAATATTTATAACACTAATTCGTAGTTAATATGAAATTGATTTTAGTATATTTAGTTGTTTGTCCAACTTTATTCAAAAACAGGTAAACTTTGTAGTAGAGTAAAAAAATTCTACTCTTTTTGGAACTTAACACTTCAGAGTCAAGTATCTAGAAAAGAACAATTCCGCGACCATGCGCCATCTACCGAAGACTTTTAATACTAGTTTCGACAGTGCGGAACATGTGATTGCTCCATGGTGAAGTCTTAGTAACTAACTAATATGTCAGATTTATAATATTTCATTGATTATTTTAATTTTTTCCAAAATTTTCAAATAATTTTAATAATTCATCAATAAATAACTGAAAATTAAATTTCATGATAAAAATGTAAATAATACACAAAAGATTTTTTCATTTGACATAATATTGCATGAAAAACAATAATAATAATATCAATTTCATATTGTATTTTGTAACGGAGTGATCGTTACTCGGTAAATTCCCCATTTCGGTACCTAGTTATTTATCGACTGCTCACAGTGCGCTGTGATCTAAAGCTCGTTCAGAGCTAGTAAGAAAGGCCCCGAGGTGGAGAAGCTAGCGTAGTGGTAGTGGGGAGAGCAGAGGAAGCAAAAAAGAACGAGCGAAATTTGGTAAGACTCATTGTGACTGAGTGGCTCGACTAGACGACACGAAAATTTTTCTAAAACATCCAGCTAAGGTAATTATTTTTATTCTGCTTGTCCAACGTGGAACGAAGCGATAACATTTTGTTAATTTATTGCTTGCTAGGCCGCCTGCCAGCTTGCGTAAATTAATCTTAATTGGTAATATATTCTAATGCTGATTTGCGGTTACAGGCGTAATAAATAACCAGAGAGTGAGTGATGGTGACGAGAGTTTGCCGCCAAATTGAGAATACCAGACCGAGGGAAAATTCACACCAGTACCCGAAGACGAGGAGTTGCTGCTCACCGTTAGAGTGCAGATTAAAATTATAAGAATACTCCAGGTACAAATAACGAGTCTTAATTATTCCTCGGGTCTGCGGCATCAGCCAGGCAACACGTCGGCTGAAGGTCACCGCCATTTCGTGCTCAGTCACAATCGCTTATTATTTAGTTATCTTATTTTAAGTATCATTTATAAATAGTTTATTTATTTAGTATCAGATTTAACATTACGAATTGGACAAATTATAAAACAATTAATTAATAATACCAGGACAGGTTTCGGGTTATTAATTAAATTGTTAGGGAAAATTAACGTGTCTTTGTCATTACTTATTTTACACGTAGGCATGTCTGGGTTGATAATACTAGGCATTAGTTCGGGTTATTAATTCCAGATTTTTACGCCATGTGTAAAATTGTTTTAATTGGGAATCTATAAATAATAATTTGGCTTAAGCCAGTAGAAATGAAATTGAGTAAACCGCTAAATTAAAGTTATTTAAGGTAGTACCTCCGGTTTTAGAATTGACGTTCAGAATTTAATGAAATTTGGCATATTGGTACTTTATAATATCATAATTAAGCAGTAAAATTTTTGGAACCTGAGATTATATAATTTAAATTTCCTTCACCGCCAGTTACCTAAAAAAATTTACCTTACCGACAACTAATTTCTTATGACTTAGAAGACTTAGAAGACAGATCAATTGTCGTTCTTTTGTAATGTTTCATGGGTTACAGTTTAATTTTTTTCATAAATATGATATCTAAATGTTTTAATGTGTGTATTTTATTATATAGAATTTACTATTATTTGACATACATTAAGTGTTATGTATGAAGTATTAAATGTATATAACTTGTTAGAGAGCAAGTTACTTTTTGAATTTCTTTACAATTATTACATTGGCTACATTTCCGTTCGGATCACTCAGATGACCCCGCCGCAGAAAAGGTTAGGATGCGCGCGAAATTCAAACATACACCAATTTTTTTTTTTTTTCGTTTAATTTCTTAGCCACTGCGATTTGTTTTAGATTTTTTTTATACATCTTTTCGGTAATTACTTTACCTTTCTAATTAAATACTTTTTTTGTGCAATTTAATAAATTTAACTCTGACATTTCTGTAAATAGACACACGCAACTGACAATTCGTGTAAAAATAAATAAACGTATGCGCAATAGATTTCCGCGCATGAACTCATAAGTTGAGTGAAACAGAAAATATCTCTATCTCTTTAGTTTTTACGCGACGTTGTCAGATGAAAATACTACTGAAGCCAAATTACACAAAGCGCTCATTTGACACTTGTGATAACGGTAGTACTACCTTAAGACAGGAATTAATTCGACAGTGAAATTATTTTAATAAATTATTCGGCGCCAGAGTTGCAAATAATGCATTAAATTTCGTAATGCATTAGCATTTTCATTAGACATTAAATTTAATTTATTAATGAAAAATATTTTCATTAATGATTAAATCTAATTTTTAAATGGAAATAGATTTCGTTGACCATTAAATTTAATTTTTTAATGAAAAATATATTCGTTAATCATTAATTTTAATTTTTAAATTATAAATATTTTCATTACTTATTAAAAGTAATTTTTAATGGTGAATTTTGCCATTGATCATTCAATTTAATTTTAATTAAAGTATTGCCATTCATAATTGAATATAATAGTGTGTTCGGACTCCCTGCTCCGAGCGCATCACCATTTTTTTTACTCGAAACAATTTTATTTAAGAATAAGGAAAATCCGGATTAAGATGTACTGATTATTAAAACGATGTAATATTAAAAAATAACTGTTTATACCCAACTATATATATATATATATATATAAAGATATAAGCTCATCCTGATGTTGCACTCATCAAGCAAGACCTTTCATTTGAGTGCCCACTTGCATTTTGATATATTTTTCATATATACATATATATAAATATATGAAAAATTGATAGAGCTAAAGCATTTCGGAATCTAGTTATTTTCCAAATTTTTTCTAGAAAAATTATTTGATACAAAATTAATATCAATCAATTACAAGTCAAATTCTCAACTTTCTATGTTTACTACCTTTTTATCCGTTGATGATGATTTTAATCTCGATTCTGTTTATTTTAAAATAAATAATCAATTGATTAATATGAATTTTGAATTTGAATTTTCTCGGGTTGAAAAACAAAGGGCGGATCGTCCTAGTGAACTAGAATGCGAAACTCGAAGACACTATAATATTTCAATAATACCCATTACATATATAATTTGGATTAAGTTTTTTCTTCACTAAAAACAAACATCAATTTTTGAATTCTTTTGACATTTATTGTATTCACCAACGCTCAGCGCTCCACGCGGTCGTATACAGTATTATATTCGGTGACTACCTTATCGATCGTGATTGTTTTTCAAACTTAATGGCAGCATTGTTTGTGTTGCAATTTATTTCTCTTCTTTAAATAAATATAGTACCACATTTAAACCTTAAATTAAACAAAAACAAACATAAATCAAAATAGTTTACTGTGGTGAATTTAAATTCATGGTTTTAATTCTTCTACTAAATTTGTCGAAAAATATTAATTAACTGTTGTGAGAGAAATATAACCCCTTAGTTTTTATTTGTTTATTGTGAATTGTATTGTAAATTAATTTGTTTTTTATATTGTTGACATGTAAGTATTACTTCATCTTAAATGTAACTATTTTTAATCATTAACTACGATGATATAATAAAAGCTATTTATAACTACACTATAAATAATGCTTTAATTAAAAAAATAAGTGCAAATTTTTCTTGGTGAATTATTTAAATATTTCTTTTAGGTCTACATCTCCGTCCGATTCTCCGAGAAGAAAAAAATTCAAAACATCAAACCCGCTGGAAGACAATGAAAATTACAGATTACAATCACTGGAAAAGTCAATAAGTCAAGTTAAAATTACAACGTCTGTTCAACTTGCAAATTCAAGTCAACGCTCCGATCAAATCGTAGATGTTCATCATTTTAACGACTTTGAAGATTCGACTGAAATCTCACCGTCAGCATCAAAAAGTACCGAGGATTATAAATCTCTAGATCCAAAATCATCTGAAAGTGAGATTGTTGATAATGATTTACGTGACAAGATAAATAAAATGACTTGTCTTGATGGTAAATTTTTCACAGTTGACTTCGAAAATTCGAGCTTAACTGGTGCAGTATTTGCTTTTTGTGATTTTTGTCCTTCGAAAAAATCTATTAAAGGTTCTATACGTACTACATCAAATTTTACTTCACATCTGAAGGTACAATAAACCAATTTAGCGTTCATACTTTAATAACATTCGTCGTAACGTTATTAGTAAAGATTATATTATATGATTATTTTCATTCTCCAACGAATACACCCCGATGATTTCCAGAATTATTTGGAATACTGCAAACTAAAACGTGAAGTTAAGCATGATGTTATTATCAACAGAAAACGTTGATCATGCACTTTCAATCAAGATCAATTTGAAGATAATGTTACCAACTTGGTCTTAAAATTTATGTTGCCCTTTAGAATTGTTGAAGATTCAGTATTCAGGAAAATATTTGATGGTTAGTAGATACTTATATTTAATTTTTAATACTGAATTTATGCTAATAAATAATTTTTTTTTATATTCTATTAACTTTAGATATGAATTTAATAAAAGGAAATCTTCAAATGAAACATCTCACACGTTATACGTTGGGGAAAAAAGTCGATGAAAGTTATGAAAAAATTATGCAAGAAGTACAGGAACAAATAAAATTAGTAGTCGAACAGAATGCATATGTTTGCACAACAGCTGATGTGTGGACCGGAGGAGCACGCCGATATTTAGGTGTCACTATTAGCTGGGTAATTATTAATAAGTAATAATTATGCTATATATAGTTTGGTAGGATATTTAGTCTTAAAAATAAAATCAGCTTTCTTTGAAACTTACAAACTATTGTAATAAAAATTTTTTATTTCATATATATTAATTTTATTTTAGAAAACTTAGCAGAAAATAATGATGAAAATAACGACAACGAAATGGAAGATGATGATGATGAAAATACCAGCAGTGTCGAAGAAAATGTCGATGACTTTGAAATGCCGGAACTTAGCTCCGATTTTAGTGATAGTTGTGACCGAATTCTTCCAGTACACTGTAGGTGTGCTAGTCACACCTTAAATTTAATTGCATCGACTGACATAGCTAAAGCTATTGCTGCTGATGAAAGGCTTAAGCGTAAGCATAAAAGCGTGATGAATAAATGTTCATCTTTGTGGAAACTATTGCGTTCACCTAAAAAAAGAGAGCTGATCAAAGAGGAGTTGGGAGTTTCTATTAGCAAGCCTGTTGTGACAAGATGGAACTCCAGTTATGATTGTTTAACTCAGTTAGTTAAACTTCAAAATAAATTAGTTGGTACTAGTTTCAACAATGAAATAAAGCCTCTACAGCTTGCAGATTTCAATTATCTTCGCGAATTTTTAAATTGCACGAAGCCTTTAGCTAATGCTATAGATACATTGCAAGGTGATAAATGTTATTATGGCATTTTGCTACCCCAACTAGTTTCAGTGATCAACCAAATGACTGAACTTAAGAATAATGATGACATAATTTACTGCAAATCAATTATCAGCTGCATTATTGATGCAATTAATAAGCGGTTTAAAAGTTTATTCAACTTTTTTCAACCTAACATCGATGCGGCTATTGCGGCTATTTCCTGCCTACAATTCAAAGGCCGTTGGTTATCTAAGTTTTCTGAGGATGAGCAACGTGAGGTCCATAAACGCTTTATAAATGCAGTATCTAATGAAGCTGAGACTGAAATGTTGGAAACTCAAAAAAACCAAAATGAAAAAGACATTGATGACAATTATCAGTTTGGACCTGATTTAACAATCGACGAATTTAGACCGTCATCGTCTCAAGGTGAATTGAAAGCAGAAGTCACTCGATTCTTGAAAACTAATGATAACTATTTGAGCATGTTGGACAAATTTCCATTAATCAGGAAAATATTTTTAAAATACAATGTTATTTTACCTTCTTCAGCAGCGGTAGAAAGGCTCTTTAGCCATGCAACCTTGATGAATTTGCCGAAGTTTAATAGGCTTATGGATGAAAATTTTGAAAAGAGAGTGTTGTCAAAAGCTAATGCTTCAAAAAAGTATTTTACATAACATAAAAAGTAATTACATAACTGTAATTTATATCATTATAAAAAATTCTCATAAATATCTGCGAAGCTTTATTTTTAGCTACCTTCCTACCAAATATAAATTAAATTTACTCAATAAATCTGGAGTATGCATTGCACGACACACAATGTAAAATTAACTTATTATGATAATAAGATAGTTAATTTATTATGATAAGAATTTAATTTAGGCTTCATTCGAAAAATACTCTAGCTCTAGCTACAAAGTTAAGAAATTATCTGGTATCTTGTGAACTATTGATATTTTTATTAAAGATATAAGTTTATTCCGATGTTACACTCAAGAGCTTTCATTTGAGTACCCACATGTATTTTAATATATTTTTCATATGTACTTATATATATGTAGGGGCTCTATGTGGAGCGATCTACGATTATTATGTGCGTTGTTGTTGTTTGGAATGTAGCAGCTCTGCAGCAGAGCTTAACTACGAAGATTGTGTGTTGTTGTTTGACTGTGTAGTCAGAAAGTTGGAAGAAGGGGGAAAGGTAGAAAAGGAATTTGATTGGGTAAGGCGTTTCGTGTAGACAGTGACACACACTCATCAGCTAGGCCATTCGTGTCACTGTCTCGGCCCAGGACGCCTGTGGAGTAGGAGTTGGAAATTGTTATATATTGAAACAGGCGTGAGGAGGAGCGCTTGCGAGAGGCGATGATGTTAGTGCCATCTCTCAGCTAGGAGCCGAACCCTATATATATATTATATATATATATATATATATATATATATATATATATTGTAACAGAATAAATTACCCTTAATCGATAAGTCGCCAGAGATCGATAACTTTTCGACTAGCATTTGAGCGCATCGATCTTCGGGCCTAGAGAGAGAGAGAGTAGTAGGAGGGGGTATTTTGGGCAGTCCTTAAATAGGTGAGCCATGCGTTGTGTCGGGAGAAGTAGTGAAGTGTACGAACGAGCAACATCACCTGCCAGGAGTCCAAGAAGGAAGCCAGTAGCAACCAAAGAGTTTCTTCAAACCAAACTTACACCAGGTATTGGACTTTGAGAATGATGAGCCTTGGAGCCAATTACCCGGCTCATCAATAATACTACTTCTCATTCATTAATTGAATTTTTGGTAATTCAATTGTTTAATAATATTTTGCTTAGTAATAATTAATTGTTTAATTGAGTTGGGTTCGTTAGCAGTTGGAGCATTCTTCTTGGGGATTTTATACCCGAGGAATGTTCCAGACCTCTTGGGTTAGCAGTCGTGAGTAATTAGATTATTAATATGGCCAGTTAATAATTATTAACATCTCAAGATTGGCTAAATTAAATTCATTTTTATTAATAAAATTTAATTAAATTCTGAACATCGAGAATTATTCCAATCAGCAACTCACGATTGGTCAAGCATCGGTACCCGAGGTCAAGCTTATTACGCAGTAACGAACAACGGCGTCCATTTTGAGCGCGCAAATTCCTTGTGAATTTTATGACGCAGTAAACTTATAAAATTAATAACTGGACTATTATTATAAATTACAACAATTGAATTATCATCTAATTATTATTTTTTATTGAATTATATTTTAATATTTATTGGGAAAACTTTTTTTTACTGAAAATTAATTCCTGAAAAATTGCGACGCAATTAAAAATCGAAACCAGCGTGGATAATATTTTCGGAATTCATTTTTACATCAAGATAATTTATTGTAAATTAATTATCTAGTTGGCAATAGCATTAATAATAACTGTCTGGTCGAAAATTCCACGAAGTTGATTTTTGAAAAATGAAACTCGGGTCATTTTTATGGAAATTAATTCATAAGTGTAATTTCATCATTTTATAAAAATTCCTCAGAATTTATTTAATTACATGGATATTAATTCCGGGAATTTATAATTGGCTAAATTAATTGGTGAAATTTTATGATAATATTATAAATATCTAATAATTTAAATTTACGAGTAAATTTTGCGACGAGCGTCCGTCGAACATTCTGGAATTTCCTTTGCCCTGAGAATGAAGCTCGTGGCCATTTTGTGAGAAAGAAGCGTCGGTTTTGAGTCGAAGTTATTTTATTAATTATGGGAATAATTCCAAGTTTTTATTGCGAGCTAATGACTGAACAATTTTAGAAAATTAACGTTGAAATTTTTGGAGTCTAATTTTTGTAAATCCGGAAATAAAGTAAAGTAGAGTGTGTGTGTGTGTGTGTGTGTGTGTGTGTGTGTGTGTGTGTGTGTGTGTGTGTGTGTGTGTGTGTGTGTGTGTGTGTGTGTGTGTGTGTGTGTGAGCGGGATATGGGTGTGAAGACGCGTGGGTAATGTGTGTGTGAGATAGTACCGCTCAAGAGGCACGTTGAGCACGCTTGAGTCGATCTGACTCCGGGGCGGGAAATCCTAGAAGCCGCTGTATAGTCGCCAAGTGGGGTACAGCGGTAGTAAGATAGAAACTGTGGTATAGACGCTCCGTATGAGGGTACTGCAGGAATAAGACTTTTGACAGTTGTAAGGATTTACACATCGCCCTCACAAACGATTAGTCTCTGTGTGAGGTGCTTTGCTGGCTACCTAGGTTAAGTTGTGTGGAGTCAATTCTAGTTAGCCGTTAGTGAGGCTATGACATTAAGTCAATCTGGTTAGCCGTTAGTTAGGCTATGACATGAAGTCAACCTGGTCTGCCGTTAGTGAGGCTGAGTCGTAGTGTTGAGTCGTGGAGTAGAGTTAAGCTAGAGTAGCGTGTGGCTCCCTGTGGGAGGCGTGAATTAATTTGTGATTGTCACTTAAGTACCATTCAAGAGTAACGTTAAGCACGCTTAAGTCCATCTGACTCCGGGGTGGGGAATAGTTGTAGTAGCGACTTTCCTCCGGAAAGCGTGAAGTAAGAAGTCGTAGTGTTAAGTTAGTTGTAAGTAAGTTGATGTACGTGCAAGTGCACAAGTTGTTAATTGATTTTGTTAGTAAATTTTTGGTACCGTTGTTAAATAAAAATTTATTCATTTTCAGAACACCTTCCTCCACTCTCTCTCCCTGTAGATCATAAGCTCAGCTCTGGTTTCCGGTTCCAGGAACCGTGTTGAAAAATCCTGGTGGCGCCCTTGTTTAATTTAGAATCATTTTTGTTTATTATATTGTCTTTCACTTAAATTAATCAGGGGCCAATGAACGAGAAATAAACACACCCGTTACAATATATAGATTGTTAACACCCACCCCCGTAATCCATATTATAAGTAGGTTGTTATAAAATCTGCTCTTATATCATTTCTACATCACATACATAAGATTCTTACCGAATTTAAAACCTGTAGAAGCTATAGCTTGGAAATTGAAAATTTTCATTGTTAAGACCCATCCCCGCAACCCCCTGTAGGATGGGATATTGGAAAATTGGTTCATAAACTATTTTTACATCACTTACAGAAGATTCCTACCAAATTTGAAGTCGATAGGAGCTATAGCTTGAAAATTAAAAATTTTCATTGTTAATACCCAACCCCGCGACCCCTTATGGGGGTGAGATATCGTAAAATTCGTTCATAGATTATTTCTACATCTCTTACAAAAGATTTCTACCAAATTTGGAGTTGATAGAAGCTATAGTTTAAAAACGGGAATTTTTCATTGTTAACGCCCCCGCAAACCCCTTTGGGGTAGGAATTTCTTAAAATCCGTTCTTAGCTGACCTCTACATGGTAAAAGTAATATCCCTGCCAAATTTCAAGTCTCTAGGTCTTATAGTTCCAGAGATATCGTGATGAATCAATCATCTATAGAACAGCTCCTATATAAATATTATAACGGGATTTCGCCTGACCCGGGGATTTACCAAGCCAGACTCACCGTTTATATTAAAATTTGGCTTACTTAAAAAAAAATTATCATTAATAAAAGGGCGCCAGGAGAATGATCTCCAACTAATTACTGCTTCGACTTCGGCTAGCTATTACCTCTTCTTCAGGGCGGCGGACCATGCTGAAATACTCGTCGTTAAAAAAATAGGACAGCAAAACAAACGAAATTCTTAAAATTACTTGAAATAAATTCAGGAAAATTAAAAAAAATAACAATTTATTCAACAAAATATATGTCGGCGGTCGATATTAATTTTTAACAAAAATTATTAAACGTCGTAACTTAAATTTGCACTCAATTTTAACAAAATTAAAATTAATAAACGTCGTTATCTCATTCAATTCTTACTCTCACATTCAACAGCATTATTCATATTTGTTAAAAATGCTAGCCGTAAGATGGACGGTGTGGCTTAATGTATATAGAATAAGTGAAAGGAAATTTAGTGTAGACCGGATAGCTCAAATGGTAGAGTAGCCGACATGTCTTCGGAAGGTTCTGGGTTCGAATCCCAGTCCGAGCTATCTAATAATTTTTTCTCGCATATTCTATACACTCACATTAAGATGATCCTCTCCATAATCCTTTCTCAATCCTTTCCTACCAAAATATCCTGTTACGTGAATGTTGGAACGCTTCACGTAATAATTATCCGTAACTCCTATCCTTTCCCGCTTCACAGCATTATTTACATTTACAAATATTCTATATAACAAATATAAATAATGCTGTGAAGCAGGAAAGAATAGGAGTTACGGATAATTATAACGTGAAGAGATCCAGCATTCACGTAAAAGGATA